CCTATCGAAACTTAGCCTGCAGAGAACGCAAAGGATAAAAAGCCGACAAATTACATTATTCCACTGTCCCCCAAAAATTTATTTTATTTTCTCCGTCTATCTATCTCATTTCAATTATTTTTCTTTTCGATTATATCATTATATTGCAAATATTTTAATACGCATTCTCGGTTCTCGTTCATATTAAAAATTTGTTTATGCGAGCGAATCAGTGTTATGTATTTATTATGATTTACGTTTTCATTTTGTGACATTAAATATTTAAGAAATGAGAGAAACCTAAAATTGTTTAATACAAAAATTATTTAAAATCAAGCCAAAAAAAATAAAGCAATAATGCTTTTTGCTAAAAACAGCCAATGTCTAATCTATAAACTAAATTGTAATTTATAAATATGTCGCTAAAATCTAATGCTTTTTTATATTACAATAAAAAAATCCACATTTGTATTTATCTACAATTAATATTAAAACAAAAAGCTCTATCTGCCTTTTTTCAAAAAGATACCTACGTACGATAGCAGCATACGATATGGTAAAATAAATGTGATCGCTCTTCTACACACTTCTCGTAATCGGGATTCTATGGGTTTCTCTATCATCCCTCGTTGGCAACCTGCATAAAATGCTGAATTGGCGCCATTCGCGCGTCCAATTTATTATCCGCCACCATCCAACGAGTCTCAACCGCAGGCGAGTTCCTTTCTCTATCAATCGTTGGTCAGATTTTCAAGCTCAAATCCTGCCTCCCCCCCCCCGCATCCCCCTCTCCAATGCCTGCATATAAGCTCGCGGATTCGACCGGCACCGAATTCCCTCGTATTCCACGGCGATATCAGCGATGGGAATAGAGGATATCTCCGGGGATCGTTTGTCAATGCGTCAGTATTATGCGATCGTGTGAAAAATCTATGGTCGGAAAAAATGTGCTGAATTTTAAGCGTGCGTGAATTTATCAACGACCACAGCACGCACGCTGCCCTCTCGTTTCGGATAAAACGTTCACGATTTCAATCTTAATGATCTTAATGATTCTCTTCTCATGATTATCTCGAATAAAAGTATCATTAGAAAGACAATCAACGAGCGATTAAAAGGAATAATCGTCATTGATAATTTTTAATCAACTAAAAATATCCTACAAAATTCTATTCAATATTTTTTTCTTCGTAATAAATATTTTTGAGAGTAAAAATCTTGTAATCTTCGGACCACACCGTACATAAAAGTATTATTACATTTTAATTCGCGAAATTTAATGGTTATATTTGACGTTGTTCTGCCCAAACGTGTTAGAGAAGTCCCATCGCAAAGCCGCGCAACTACAACGAGGCGTTAGCCGCAAAACATTTCGCGTAGTAAAAACGGCGAGTTAATATCCGAAAACTCGGGTTTTCTTCCCTCTAAAGCAAATCTCCAGTAATGCGAGCTCGTATCCCATCCCCCTCGGGCGGCCAGGCTTTCGTAAAGCTCCCGAAACACTAAAAGGAACTCCGTTATTTTCAAAGTTTTAATGCCCGATCCAGATCTCGCCTCCGCCTACGCGCTCGCTCCTCTTCCTTTCCTTCCTGTTCCTTTCCCTTCTGGACTTTCTGTCTCTTCGGAGAAGCGTCGCGAGAGAAGAGTGCGAGCTAAGGAGAGAGGGAAAGAGAAGCGAGAGACACATCCTCGAACGATAATACGTATAATATGGAAGCGCGCCGCCATCACGTCATGCCACGCCAGGCCACGCCACGCCATGCCAACGCCATGCCATGCCACGCCATGCCACGCCACGCCACGCGCTATCCGTATTTCTTTCGACTTTCCCCCGAACGCGAGTCTAGAGCGCGGTGTCACTTTCGATAGCGCGGAAACTCATTTTCCGCATCGGCGATCCTCGAGATTGTCGCGATGCATGGAGCGGAGAACGAACCGGACAGCTAACTATCGTCCCGCGCATTCTCGCAATCTGACGACTCCGGCCGTTTTGTGTTACCGGAGTTCATAAAAATTCATGAAACCAAGTTTTTATGCATCGGCCCGCGGTCCATCGCGGAATTTCGACGCACGTTCGCGGTGAACGAAAGAAAAAGAAAACAAGGAAATGAAAAAAAAAAAGAAAAAAAAAAAGAAAAAAGAAAAATTAGTCGCCCTTGCAAATCGCGACGATTGCAGCGATTTATTCTTTTCTCCCTTCCGTTTATTTATCTCGATCCTTTTTTGCCGGACAGCAAATTCATAATGCCATTTGTGATTCGGGATGTTTAGTCTCGCGATATCGCGGATATTCCATTATGTGCATTTAATGTGAGAGATAGATGCAGTGCCATATTGAAAAATACGAAAATGCTGCGAGAAACACATTTGCATCAAAATGAAAGGAAACATATGCAATATAGATTTTCGATGTTCATAAATTACAATATGATGTCCGAAAATTAACTTTGAAATATTCACGTAAATAACAATGTATTTTTCGAAATAATAAGGACATTTCTACCAAACTGCAGTTCACCGAATGAGAGAGAGAGGGAAGAGGGAGAGTTGATCTATAAAAAAACCTTTCTAAAATTACAAAAATTAAATGTGTAAAAATTTCAGTATTTACCATATCGCTATGAGACTCGGTTCCATTTGTCTGTTTCTTAATTTAAAAAAAATCGGATAAAGAAACGAGAGTGAAGACCAGCCG